CCTGCTCCATTAGGCAGACAGATTAGAAGTCTCAGGGCATATTGCAGCAGTAACATTGCACACAGTGACCAATCTGAACAGATTGTAAGTATTCCAAAACTCACAGTGGTTTCCATAAAATAATTCTCACTTCAAGTAAACATTTTCAGTTGGTGAGTAACTCTATTTTCCACCGACAGCACTCATATTTTGAGGGCTTCCTTAATGCAACGATGGCTTGTTTTTCTGATTAGTTGCCAGGGATTGTTTGGGTCCTTATTGAAATGTACTTGCTTAACTCCTCCAAAGCAACTTGGCTGGTGTCTTGTTGTACTGGCAAATGCTGCCTCCTGTACTGAAAAATTTGTTCTTTCTGAAAAATTTGGACTGTCCTTGGATGGTTTTCATGAAAATTAAAGATAAAAAAGAAAGAATTATAGATTTTGTTTAAAGCCAGTGATGAAGAACAGAACTTTGTATCCACAAGATTTACATAAATGTAGGTCACATCCTGGACCTTGTGCCATTTTATCCTCGTTCTCTCATGCTTTGTGCAGATACCTGGCTCAAAATTTCCTGATTCATCAAGAAGACGGAGAAAAGTATAATTATGGTCAAAATACTGGCTTGTAGAAACAAGCTGCTTTTCTGTATTGTGTTTTTAATACAGCCTCCATATCCCGAGCTTTACAAAGGTTGTAATAATATAAGATTGTTAAACAGAAAACTCAATCATGTGAGAGAACAACATGAAGCAGAAAAGTCTTTGTTTTCTCGAGGACAAAGCCTTTTTGATAGGGGCTGCGAGATCATATCACACACAGTTGTTCCCGAGTCAAGGAGATGGTCTTGCTGATCTCTCTGCTAGAACAGAAGATGATAATCCACTTACTCTGCAGGCTCCATGTTGGAACCTTCTTCCTCTCCACATACTCACTGTCACATTCCTCACCCTTCCCCACAGTTAGAAGACCCAGGAGAGGAAATTATTTTGGCTAGGCTGAGACATAAGCACAGGTGGTACCACTTGTTATAAACTTTTCAGTTTTTGTTGGGGCTCTGAGCCGACTTTATAGTGGTTTGTTCTGTCAGAGAAACGGAAGTAAGAGCTTTTGGCCCTCGCTGTTGATCGATTGCACGGCTGCTGACTTCCACGGGCTGCCATCTTGCAGAGGGTACATTTCTTCTCAGTGGTACCCCAGCACTGCGGTGCCAGCCTGAATCACAGCCAAAGAGCCTTATTTCCTTACTACTCCAAACAGTGCATTTGGGCACTTCTGCCTATGCTGTGTTGGAGAGATTCCGCACGAAAATTTGAATTTTGTTGAGCTATTCCTTTTTTTGCTGTACCAAGGTAAAAGTGAATTTGTCATAAATTCTATCTTTTTCCTACACATTGGAGTCCTTCCCATTGGTAAAGTTTTCACTCTTATCATGGCCTCATTCTAGCAGCTCTACTGCTGTGATCGTGTCAGCTTTAGGGTAAATGACAGACAGAAATTTTGCTATCAAAGTTGCTTTCAAAGGCCATGGAAAGTCAATCACTGGATTAGATCAAGAACTTAGTTCTAAATATAAATGCTTTCTCAGCACTTGCAAATAATAAATTCTACCGAAGTTTAACCCTACCCTAAAGTTCCATGTAGGAACTCTGCTCCTCCCTCCTTCTGTTTTCTAAGGAAGTCACCCAAGGTGAGATGTACTCCAGTGAATCTTAAGTAGCTGATTCTGTGGGTTATTTGTATGTCCTACATTTCTTTGGTACGAGCTGCTAACATAAAACTTCCATTTTCAGCTCTGTGAACTTTGATTCACAGAATATACTGAAACTAAATCACTTCTCAGGTTGGCCTTCCAAAATGGGAAGGGTGTCCAGTTGTTGGTGGGTTTGGCTTAGGTTATGCAGTTTATTTGTTTGGGTTATATGTTTTGAATATGTGCCCAGGGCTTTTAAAAAGAGTGATGGGAACATTTGTATAAATGGAATTGAAAGCAAGGGAGCAGGCATTGTCAACATTCTAATTATGGACGTGGCAACGTGTGTGTTATTTGAGAGTTTAAAGGGTAGAAGACAAAATAGAGGGAAAGGAGGAGGAAACTAGTGGTCTCAAATAGGATGGCTGCCTTTTCTTCTTAGCAGGCAGGAAGTAAAAAGCATAAAGTTCTCCCACCTTTTTGGATAACCAAACATAGGGCAAACTGCCTTGTGTCCTTTTTCCCAATATCCTTTTCACTTAGAGGCATCACTGGGACACAGGGTAAGGTTCTGAGGCAGCGAGAGTGGTCACTGATGTCAGGTGATCTGAGTATATCCACATCCTCTCCTCCCGTAATATTCCCTTCAAGGCCAAAAGGGCCAGCATGTCATGTGGTGTGGAACTCCAGAGAGAAATTGAGTGTTGTGTGTGTGTGCGTATGTTCACCTTGGGTCTTATGGCTTTTTATTGCCCAAGAGGAAAAGTGCCAAACTCTTTGGAACCTCTCTTCTTTTGACATACAAATTTCCCAGAAACTATAACCATAATAGCTGGAGGGCTGTTAAACAAGAGGGTATTACTAAGGTTGGGGTGGTGAACCAAAAGAATTTGGAAAGTTTGAGAAACGAGAGGATGGGGGTGGTGACACACACTTTCTTTTCCTTTAATTTTTGAGGGTGTTTTTCCCCTTGCATCTTCGTTTCCAGTCAAGTGTATTTCTTTCCAGACATAAAATCAAAATCCTCTTCTCTCCAGTCTGCATGGCTTAGGAGTAATTATAAGGTAAAAATAACATTGTCTCCTCCCGTGAAATGTGTAGTCTTATTCTAAAGAAGGTTTTATTGAGGGGTCTATTTGACTTTTTCCCCCAGAGTTATATATGAGATGGTATTTCTCAGGTAGCTATTATGTTGTTTTAATATAATTTGGGGAGGGGGATAGCTAGCTGAGAGCATATCTTTTACTTTTAAGGCTTTTTTAAAACTGATGGAGAAAGACATACACCAACACAAATAGCTCACGGCCGATTCTCTCTCTGACTATAACAGCTAGAAGTTGTGGGTTCCCAAATAGAAGGCTGAAGCCCACTGAAATGTCCCAGCAGGCCCTGGGTTTGCACTACAATGTCCAGTAAACTTCATGTAATTACAGCTGCTGGCTTAAGGAGGCCTGTGGTCGCCACAGGCTGTTAAGACCTCAGTTATGGCCAGAAGGGCAGTGGGTAGGATTCAAGCCCTGCCACCAGTGCCAGAAGCCGGGGCTTCCTTCATAGCAGGGACAACTGCTAGACTAAGCCAGCTGTGCAGAGCAGAATTAAAAAGCTTGCCGATCTAAGGGAAATAGTGCCACCTGTGATTTTTTTTTTCTTTTAAAAATTATGGAGGAAAGAAAGAGGCAAATCCTAGAAGAAGGCAGCTAGCCTCTTAGGAAATACCAGAATCTGCTCAGCTATACTGGGTTATTATCCTAGGAACAATATAACAAATCAATGAATTTGAATTGAGTTATGACGGTGGTTTTCAAAATTACCTGAAAAGGCTGCCAAAAATTCTGATTCCCAGAAACCACCCCAGAGGTTCTGATTCAGAGCGTCTAGTGTCCGGGTCATCTGTAAAATGGGTGTTTTACCATCCACAAAATTATTAAGAGCCTTAGAAAGATGGGTCTCTTAAAATTCTCTGTGAACCGCAATGTGCCACATAAATCTTAACATTTAACTAATATGGTGTTCACAGTCTTCCTTGCATGTGTTAGATCCCGTGCTGGGAACTCTCAGAGAAATGAAAGAAGTCTGCTGTAGTTACGTACTTTGTGTAGTTGATAGTTTTCTATTATTAGGGTTCACCAAGAATGCTTCCCTCTCAAGAAAATACATTGCTCAAGCCAAAATTTGTGAGCAGCACTTTCTCTCTCAGAAGTAGTAGTTTTGTTGTTCCTGGTTTAATCTGAAAGTAACACATGAGCATCAAGACTTAATTCCAAATTGTTTCCAAGGAGGGGGTTTCAACCTTTCTGATCCTTTCTTTCTTTGTTTTAATCACAGATTTATTGGGGGGGGTGGAATGGCTGGAATTTAGGCTAATTTGACGGCATTGCTTCCTATTTTAATTGAACTGCAGGGAATGGAAATCATTAGGGGATGTGTGTATTGTATTTGGACGAAAGAGTTTTGCTCAATATGTGTGCCTTGTTCACAGCATACATTCTTAGAATGACTTAACAGTGCATAGTTGACATACCTCACACACAGCAGAGGCCTGAATGAATGAGCAGTGGGATGAATGGGCATCCAGGAAAACTAAGTAACAAGAAATGCTAAAAATACCACGCCAGTATACAAAATTTGGGCTGGGTTTCATTTGTAGTTACTACTTAAAAATGGACTCCAGTCAAAGGGTCATTTCCTTTTCACTTATAAAATAAAAGCACTTTCACAAAGAATCCTAGAGCTGGAAAATACTTTAGAAATAATCGAGTCTAGTGATTTTCAAGCTGTGCTTCCTAGAGCTGTAAAACAAGGTTACCCCACTTTGACTAAATATTTGAACCATTTGGGAAGATTTTTAAAAAGTATGCTAGAGCCCCACTCTTAAAGAATCCCATTCATGTGAGTGGGGCCTAGGCAAATGTTTTACAGGTGATTCTAGCTGGAGTTCTGAACCACCATTTCAAGGATTTGGCAGTCCAAACATTTGGACTGGTGATCTGATAAATGCTAGTATACTCCCTGGGGAAAATAGGAGAGAATATATTAAACTGGGAAAATTGGGATGTGCTTCTGCCCGAGAGAGTTCCCATTACTGTCAAAGAAAACACTAGACTTCAGAAAAATTCAATTAAACAGCATTCTCTCATGTCCTCTTTGTACAGGACATTCTGCAGGTGTCCCTGGGACACACAGGTTAAGATTCAGTCTTCTTCTTAAAGATTTTATAGTCTTGCAATCTGGAAACATATGGGGGTTGGCCTATGGCAAAAGCACAGGGCAGGAGTGAGAAAAACAAGTACAAACACAACTTTAACAAAAGGCAAGTGTGTTATGGATGGCACAGGAAGGGTTTAATCACAGACAAAATACTATAACTTTCAGCATTCACTCTAATTTCTCATCTATTCTTTACTCAGCCTAGAACTGACTGACCAAATTGAGCAGTTTTGCCATTCGTAGTCTCAGAATACAGCCTGTTTTAGGGCAGTACAGGGATAGAAAGGAGAAATTGTAACAGGCGCCTTGTTCCTTGCTCCCTCCACTTGGTACGACGTAGGATATTTCCTAGAGCCTGAGACTCACCAGGCAGGAGGTCCCTTGATGGAGCAAAAAAAGTAAAAAGCATGGGTGTCAAGTGTCCTTTCAGGGCTGCTTCTAGATGTCTGACCACTGGTTTCTTTGCCAAGAGGAAGGCAGAAAAAAACATCTGCCTGACTTGATTTGCTTTCGTGCTTCTTGATATCAGACGTTGTTAATAGTCCCAGGTTGGTTCATGTCTTTGCATGGATAATGAGCATAGCTGAGTTTAAAACAAACAGAAGAAAGAAAGAAATTGTTAAATTTTCCATCATCTGCTGCTCTTCATATTGGTCTTAACTCAGAATCTTTGGAATTTCTTTGTTCTCTTCCCAAACATAGTCATCTGTCACAAGAACTTTCAAGGTGTGATTAGACATAAGTTTGCATAATTTCCCACTAACTCCATCCAGTGCATTCTCATATTTATAATAAGTTACCATTCCAATCAACAGATCTATACCAATAAGTCTAGCCATGGAACACATCTTGGCAGTAAGTGCTGTGTATGATCCTTCATCCTATTCCAGTAGAATGTTTATTTAGCACAAGAGAGATTCAAAGAATCTGCTGTTTCAAAGGAATTAACACTCATATCTTGGTAGAAGAATCAGAAGAAATAAAACAACTATTCGATGAGATGATCCTTTCAGGGTGGTTGTGATTCAACATACAGGTGATCCTAGGAAAACTTTCTGGCTAAGAAAAACACACAGTTTTATTCAGACAATTATAGAGTTGAGGGTGTTGCTGGTAAAGAGGTAGAAATTTGGAATGGAAAATGGATTCAGGCAGCATGCCATTTGTGGTGGGCTTTGAAGGCTGGTAGAATGTTTGGACTTAATTTGGTCAGGATTTACAAACCACTGAGTTTTTTTGAGCTCGGAAAAATTACATAATCAAACTTGTGCTTTATTAAAGTTAATTGGGCAGCAGTGTGGGGAATGAATTGGGGCCAATCAGAAGAAGGTTGAGAACCGAAGAATACACAAAAGATTATTATTGGACTGTCCAAAGAACACTAGAGACATTTGTATTGGCAAGATGGGTTATTGGTGGTGAGAAAAGCAGACAAACCGTGACCTTGAAGAACTGAAAACAGATAAATAACTAAGCAAGAATGGTGTTTCTATATTTATAAAACAAGCATTGACTTGAATAGACTATTTAAAGTAATCGTACATGTGGGAAAGAATAGTTTCTGGTTTGCATCATTAAATTTCTGTTTAGTGTTTCTAGCAATTTTAGAGATGTGGCCGATGAGTTTTGAAAATCAGGAGGATTTGGAATAATACGTGATTATATTAGAAAAAAACCATTTACAGACAAATGAATGTCCTGTCCACCTAATAGAGAGTACATACATAGTTAAAAATAAAAACTTCAGTACCAGTCAGAAGTTGAAGAATTTTTCCTACTAAACCGATCAATTATTTTGACATCTTGTGGGAAACCATGAAACTTTGTAATTACTCTCATTAAGAACTCTGTGGAACTACGAATCCATCCACTTATGTTCAGATTCTACTATTTCTTGTCTGTGACATTTTGTTGTGTTTTAATTAGTGAGGCCTAACTCTGACCAAACTCTGTGTCACTGTACCCTGTCAGCTCAAGCCCAATAAGATTGAATATTAAGGTGACATCTGACCAGCCACAGTGGTATCTAAGTCCATGTTGTCATCCATTGATTGGATTCATTCAGCAGACATCTTTTGAGATATGCTTATAGTCCAGGTTCTGTGCTTATTGATGGTGATATAAAGAGTGTGGAGATGCTCACAGCTTAATAGGGTACAAATACACACAACAAAAATGCAGAGAGAGAGGAAATAAGAAAAAGAAAATAATATGAGACCAGAGACAAGGCAAATTCGTTCTCCTTAGAGGATTGCAGGAAGCTTTGTAAAGAAAGTGATATTTTACATAAAAAGGGCATTTGACAACTAATTCATTTCTTCTCTCTCTTCCTATCTCCATCCTTCCCTTCCTCTACTTCCTCAAATATTTATGGAGTACCTGTAGAGCTTAAAGCACTATGAGAAGAGTTTTGGCTCCAATCAGACACAAATCTGCTCTCAAACAGCCAAGAGAGAACATTACACAAAGTATGTACACTCAGTAGAAATTGTTAAGCGACACAATTGACATAGAAGATAAGTATAGAAGTATAAGACAAAGATAGAGAAAGGTTTGAAAAGTGGCTGAAAAGTAGTAGTCTTGATGTCTTTGCTGTGTTCCCTGTTTTGAAAACTCTCCCTGAATGTGTGCAGAAGCATCCCCAGCTACATTTGGGAATATTGCTGCATCGGGGAATCAAGACGAGATCTGGGGACTGAGATTCCAGTCCAGGATACAATGACTGGCTTGTCACTGGTCATTTATAATCCCCAGCCTGAGAAGAGATATACTCCCAGTTACACGGAAACCAACTTGTAGTATTTCGCTTCTGAGTGAGTTTCTGAAAATCATTTTCTGAAACGCTATTTGAAAGAAGCTTGAAAAATAATTTCATGACTGTATGGCTTTCTTGCTAAAAATGTGAAAACTGAACTTGGTTGGTGGACACAGAAGTCTTATTAGCTTTGAAAAAACTGCTCTGGTTCGGGTTCTACCCTCGTTTTTTTCCCGCCTCTCTTCCTAACCATTGAATCGTGAAGCACCTTCTTTCATTAAGGAGATTCAGCACCCTCTACATAGTTGATTGCCAGTTATTAACATCCTGCAGCCTGTCCTAGTCTTGAAAGCTAAGAGCCAGCCTTGAGCAGAGGAAATTTTAAACAAACGCTGCCTTACTTTTCTATCATTCTCTTAAACAATATGAACTTTGGTTGGCCATGGACCCAATAATAAAATTGTAGTTTAAAATTTACTATCATTTCCAGGTTATGTCCCATGACATTGACATTCTATAGATATTGAAACCAAGCTTTTCCGTTTTTAAAGAGTCTTCTTATCCCTCCCAAGAAATATCTGTGATTCATTTCTGTGTGCCCTATTCTTGAGCCATTCAGCAAAATGAAGCTTGCTTCATCAGTTTTTTCTCTGTAGATTTCCCCTTTATTGAGTGATTAATTATTAACTTCCTGGTGACTTCTCAATTTTTTCTGTATTTTAAAATATTTCTTCATTTCAAAATTCTCTAGTGTAAGATACAAACACTAAATGGAACATAAGTAACTGCAATTATTTTCCTCTCCATTCAGCTTTGCCTTTACTACCAAAGACACGATTTGAAAAATGTATAAAAAATCATAAAAGTTTAAAACTTAAACACTAGGTGATTAGTTTCTTCAGTGAAAACACTAGCATTTAAAGGTTAAAGTGACAAAAAATTTGCTTATTCCTTATATTACTAATAAAGTTCGAAATTATGTTAACAATAGTTGTATTTTTAAAAGATGCTGCAAATACATAAAGATAGATGGCTTCTGAATATTTAAACACAGTAGATTTAAAACAACAAAACTGAAATACGCTTTTATTGTTAGGAAATACTGAAATCCACTGCTTAATGTATCAGTTAATGGGACTTCTTGACAAAGCACCTGTTAAATTTTAGCTGACAGCCTGTCATATATTAATTATAAATAATTGTAATATATGGCTATCATAACGCATGCAACCAAAAAAAAATAGAAAAGGTAATTAGAGTATATCCTTTGTTTTTCCCCTTCACTTCTTGCTCACAAGAAAAAAATGACCCCATGTTCCACTTGGGTTGGGATGGTGCCAATGGTTAATGGAATGCCCCACTCTACTAAAGAATTTAATGGGAATATCCATTTGTCACAGTCGCATGCTGTAATCTCTAGTAGCAGAGCCAATGGAAAATAGCATCGTACCATAACGTCCTCCACACACTGCAGGTGAGGGTGAAATGCAGCAGCCAAACTGAACAGAGGCAGCGTAGAGTGCCTGGCCTTTCCAGGCCTTTCTTTAGAGAAAGACGTGGATTTCTTTTCTTTAAGAGAACAGTGCTGCCTGACAGCAACAAGAAACATTGTCCTGGAGAAAAAGAAGGTACATTTCTTTCAGATGGAGAAAAGTGTGAACATTTGCATAGCATGTCTCAAAACCTCTAACTACCTCTTTGTCTACTGGAAGCCCATCTGTTTGTAAAGAGAGCTTAGGTAGTGGAATCAGAAAGACCCAGATTAGGTGCTCATTTCAATCACCTCCTAGTTCTGAGTTTGAGCTTTAGAACCTGAAGAATGGGAATATCAGCACCTAAACTTGCGGAGTTACTGGTAGAATCCAAAGGACTATATGATTCAGAAAATTAGCATCGTGTCTTCCGCCACGCTTCACAATTCAGGTGGCATTATAGTGTAGTCTGATTACTTTATATGTGGATAGCTTGTGTTCCCAAATGAGTTAAAATATTGTTCAGTTTAGGGACTATATTCTCTCTATATATTTGTTTTATCTTTCTCACATGTCAGTTCTGTGTTTGGGACAAGAAGGAAGCTACTGAGAAACGCTGTATGAATTAAATTTGAAAAGTTCTCTGAAATAAACATTTTAACCCATGTAGAGATTAGTATTTATTTGAAGATTAAATCCATTCATTATTATTCCACTTATGCATTTAGCAGCAAATTTAGACACAGCTAGCACCTATAGAAAGAGGTCTCAGATACTCATTTCAGTGCCTTATGAAACCGTTCACTCTCTTCAGAGTACGTCACTGGAACCTAGATCGTGTTTCTCCATCTAACTGGATTTAATACAAACCACTGAAGCCCTCACAAAGAAAATATGATTGCAACAATTATTCAATTCTTTGATTAATAATTTATAATCAGAATAGAAGTAAAAACACAGGGTTTGAAGTCAAACAGATGTAAGTTCAAAATTCTAGCTTGGCCACTCACTAGCTGTGTCAGCTTGGCCAAATTATTTACCCTCTCTGTTTCTGTTTCCTCACTTAAACAGAGCTAATAATACTTAACTAGTACGGCATTGTTAAGATTAGAGGGGAGGCAGTGGCTTTGAAACTTTTTCTTTTAATCACTAGCCACATGATCAAAACATAAGTTTACAAAACAATACTTAGTACATATAGTGCACTTCTCTTTCTTTCCTTTCCTATTTTCATTTATTTTGCCTGAAAAATTGTTCCTGACCCACAAAAGGTCACAATGTGCCTTTTGAAAAACAGTGAACTAACATGATGTTTAGTACCTAATACAAGGTTAACAAATGGTTACCATTACTGTTGTTATGATTATTTTTAGTCTTCTTTTTAGGATGCTTCATGATAGATGAGAGTAAAATCTTTCGAGTACTTCTAGGAACTAACTCCCTTGGATGGAGTCCAAAATAGACTCATACTCATCGTATGCTAAATTATGCACTAGAGGGGGTTGTGCTATAGCAAAGCTCCTGTGTGCTATTCATCACAGAATGATAGCGCTGGAAAGGAACGAAGAAAGTGTCTAGTCCCATTGCTTCATTTTCCTTCATGGAAATATTTATAGATTTAAAATATTCTATACTTATTGCTCATTAATAAGTTGGAAAAATGGCTTCTTGGATCAAGAACTGGGAGGTAATCAGGAATAGTTGGGGGAGGGGACACCAGGTCATGATATCTGGGTTTTTGTTCTGCTTCTGCCACCAAATAATTGGGTCACCTTAAACTCTCAGGGTTTCAGTTTCCTTACCTTAAAATTGGGTGATTGCAAGAGATGATCTGTCGATAGCCAGAGAGATCTGGAATAGTCCTCCTCTGATGTTCTTTGACTTCTAATCTCCAAATGGCAAACTATCCCAGAGGTTGTATTAGAGTATTATGGGGTGCGGGTTTGTTATATATCAGCTCTGATATATTAATACATGTATATTGGGCTGAAATCTTCTTCCCACCACTACTCACATGTGCAGAGAAAGTTTGGCTCCTCTGCTTTCTGTATCTCCTCTTACTCAGCAGCACCACTCTGAATAATGCTGTTTCTTTTGTATAATAGCTCAGGGAGGGGTGTAGTGGTTAAGTTGGGGAGCTCTGCTTTGGTGGCCCAGGGTTCATGAGTTCAGATCCTGGGAATGGACCTATGCACTGCTCATCAAGCCATGCTGTGGCAGCATCCCACATACAAAACAGAGGAAGATTGGCACAGATGTTAGCTCAGGGCCAATCTTCCTCAGCAAAAAAAAAAAAAAAAAAAAAAAAAGCAGCTCAGACTCTCTAGTCAGCTCTTCCCACTGCTACTTATTTCTCCAAGACGTTTGGTTGTGGTGGGACAGGAACATCTATGTCCTCATGGTGTCATGTTGAGTCCTTTGGCTTGTGTCATTTACTTGTACTGTCCTCTGTCTCCTCTGATTTCTGGGTCTCTTTTCTGCTGCTTCTTGCTCACCTTGGTAACAAGGCTCATTGCTAAGTTCTCTAGCTAACTTTCTACCAGTGGGATAGGTTGCTATTTCTTCCATGATGCTCCCAGACAGCAGTCAGACTTCCCAGCTGGGATCTTAAATAAGGTTAGATCTGGTCAGATCTTAAATGAGGGATGAGTGTCTCTCCACCAAGGACAATAGCAGAGGAAAATTAGGGTTGTTAAAACTTTCTGTTTGTTCCTCTAACATCCAACTTTGCAAGAGGAAAATGGGACTCATCAGTTAATGGGAGAGAATGTGGCAATGAGAAAGCCAAATCAAGGTTTACAACTTGAGTGAGAATCACCCATGTGGAGGCTCAGAGTTCTGGATCCATCCTTAGGGCACAGGGGGTAGGTGTCCATCCTACCTGCTCAGCCTTTCAGTTCCTTGTGTCATCAGAAAGACTGGAGGGTAAACCTGGCTCTGCGGGCTCACACAGGAATAGATTTCTTCTTGATTTTCACTATAAGGCTAACTATAAAAAAAGAACAAGGAAGAGTCATGCCAAGATGTCCGGCCCCCCCACCCTTAAATTGCTGGAAAACTAAACTTCATTTAGCAAGACTCCTTTCACAAAGATGTGACTTCTTTTTGGCGTGCACAGCAGGCAGAGGATTACTGACCAATCCTTCAGTGCCTTTCAGGAGCCCAGCATGCAGATGGTGGGAACAAATGGGCAGCGTGAAACAAGAGTCAGGATGCCGGATCATTAGGCGGAATCTAAGGGGGTCTGCTTACCTTTGCTCTTTCAAAGACAGCCTTGAGCCGGCAGGAATAAGAACTGTGTGCAAATGTGCTGGCCTGAACACAGAAGGAGCAAGAAAGGTGGCTGGAGGCCCTGCCTTTGTTTAACCTTTCTGACCAAGTTGCTAAAAAAATTTGGCTAGGCTAAATCTTCGATGGTGGCTTCCAGTTGTTGACTTTTTCTACACGCTTGTGGTCCTAGGAGGAGTGAAGAAGGTTAAAATTCGCCTCTCAGCCGACAATCCACACAGTGTGCGCTGTGGATGAAGGGTTCTGTGGATGAAGCTTGTGTAGCCCAACAACTGAGCGGATGTCTAGGGAGAGGGTTTGATGGTGTCCTTCAGAGAAGCCAGGGAGCACTGCATTTCCAACATCGTAAAAGCAAGTAGCATGGAAGCAAAACAAGAGTTATTACACTGATTAATTCGATATTTCCCTTTCCTCCTCTCTGACTCCAAAGTGGATCCTACAAGCATCCCAGAATGAGGCTGCCAAGGTGAACTGGGGCGGACACAAACTGTCTCATCAACGCGCGCTCCTTATATTATCATAACAGCTTTGAATGGGGCGCGACCAGCATTTTTTTCCTCCCGCGCGCCAGGACGCTCCGGGGTGTGCATCTCTTAGGAGATGAGTGAATTTGTTAGAAGGGGTCTTTTCTGGCCTGGTGGATGGATGCTGGGGAGTGACGTCACCCCGCCCCCTCCTCTCCGAGACTCTGTGTGTGTGTGTGTGTGTGTGTGTGTGTGTGGTGCGTCTCCCTCGCCCAGCTCTCCTGTCTGCTCCTCCTTCGTTCAGCTCTCTGGCCCTTTCAGTGGGTCAGTGGTCCAGATTCAGGCATTCGCCAGCGGGCGCCGCGGGCCTGGCTCTCCTGGCGCCCGGGCGCGCCCACACTCACACTCTGGCGCTGGCAACGCGCACACACAATCCCCCAGCGCTGGGGCACCGCGGTTCCGTGGGATCCCCAGCACGTTACGAGGATTTTAGAAATCACCCAGACAAGGAAACAAAGAGAGAAGCTTTTCCAATCACTTTCCCGAGCTTTTTCATTTAATTTCCCCACCAAACCATCTCGCCTCCAAGCGTAACCACCAGGTTCACGCCAGGTCCAAGGACTGGGCTGGACTGGCCATCCCACCTCCTGGCCCTCGACTCCGCTCGGGCCGGTCGCCAAGCGTCGCCTCGCCCCCTCTCCCCCGCCCCCCCACTACCCCCGCCGGCCTCAGTTTCTGGTTACCTCTCGCGTGCGCTTCACTTTTGGGGGGAAGAAGAGAAGAAGGGGAGGGAGGCGCTGAGGGGGGCAGCCGAGTTGCTATTTGTGGCCAAAGAATCCTCTTTAAAAGAAGCAGCAGCAGGAAGGAGGAAACAGGAGAGGCGGAGGGAGGAGAGGAGACGCGGCCCCGGACCCCCCAGCTGCGAGCGGCGGAGCATCGAGGAGCGGGAGGAGGAGGACGAGCAGCAGGAGGAGCGGGGAGCGGAGACACACAGCGGCGGCGGCAGCCGGAGCAGCGAGCGCTGGGCGAACAGGAGGAACGGGAGGAGGAGAAACCGCCGCGGCAGCCGCGGGCTCAGAAGGGCCAGGAGGACGGCCCGGGAAGAGGAGGAGGAGGAGGCGGAGGAGGAGGAGGCGAAGGGGGTAGGGGTGGAGGGAGGGCGGGGGGACGCGCTCCTTTGGATGCTGGATTTCGGGTTTTTGGACTCACTCGCTCACTCTCCTCCACTTCCTCGCTGTGGACTGGGCTGGCCGCACGAGGGCCGGGCGGCGGCAGCGACCAGGGGCAGCCCCGCGGCGGTGGCCGCAGCTCGGCGGGATTAAATTGGCCGCCCGGAGGCGGCGGCTGGGGCGGGCGCGGGCTTCGCGGCCGTGGCGGGGCGCGAAGGCGCTGGAGCAAAGTGCTGGTGGCGGCGCGGGAGGCGGTGGCGGCGGCTGCCCGGAGCCAACATGACCAGGTGAGTCCCCGGAGCTGACCCGGCCCGCCCCCTGTGTCCTCCCCTCTCCGCGCCTGGGGCTTGCCCTGAGCCTGGCTCGGGCAGCCCGCGCCTCCCGGGCCGGAGCTGCACATTCCCGCGTCCGCGAGCCCGGCGCCCCGGCCCCGGAGCGCACACAGTTTTCTCTTCTGAACCTCCTTGGGCAGAGGTCCTTCTCTGCACGGGTCGCTCTCGCTTGAAACCTCCGGCCAGGGAGAGGGGCAATGCTAGAGAAAGAGGGTGTTTGGATACACGTATTTGTGTGACCCTCGCTCTCTCCTCCTGGGGTGGGCGTAGTATTGGGGGAAATGGTGGAGCGGTGGGGCAATCCGACCCTACCCAGGGATTCTGCCACTGCCTCTATTTTTTTAAGAGGCAAAGATTACCGTGTTAAGGAGGGCTGGTTATGGTGAGGGGGCGATTTCTTTTTCTTTCCTCTGAACTAGTGGGGAGAAGGAGAAACAGCAGGAATCAAAGTCTACCCGGCTGCCATAGAGGAGGGGGATTGTTTTGGAGACCTTTCCACAGCAGAATCAGAGCTCGTAGTTCTGCTACGGGAATCTGTGTTCCTACACACTCATCCCGTAGGGAAGGGGGCGCAGAATTTATAATGAAAAGCCCAAGTTGTAGGAAACAATTTAAAAAGAAAGCCACTAATAAACCAAAGGTTCTTCGCTTTTCTATCGATTTACTATAGTTTTCATATAGGCATGTAGAAAACTTGCATTGTGTATCTGCGAGGTTGATTTTCATTTAAAAGCATTAACAAATGAAGTCAGTTTTCTTATGCTTTTAAAAAAAATCTTGAACCCTCTGTGTGAGTTTGGCTTTCATTAATTGGGTGTTCCAGGATTCTGAATAGTAGTTCCATTCTCCAAAACCCGGACTAACACAATCCACTTGTATTGTTTCCAGCTCGCCTCCCGGTACACGACTTGCCAAATGTCTCCTCTGCCTTCTCAAATTCTTAGAGCGATCCCCCAGACCAATCTACAGTTTGTGCCTTAAGCACCTCAGGAAGATTCCTGAGGGATCGCTCTCCCTGTATTTTCTGTTAAAGTTTATTCTTTTTTTCCCTTTATATGCCCACAGACACAGTGCCAGTGACTTGAGCATAGTGCACACATTTTGAGCCTCTCAGAGACTAGTAACTGCTTGTAACTTGAGACAGATTTGCTGTTGGACTTCCAGAGCTGGAAATGTGAACCTTCCTCTTTGGTGTGCTCTTTCTAGCCATCCTGTAGCACACGTTTGGGGAGTTAGTCCTACCCTTGGTACTTCTGACCATTTTGACTTATATGATCTCAGTTTCAAAGTGTACACACCCACTACTCAAAAAAGTGTACCCACCCGCTTTTTTTCTGAGTAAAAGAGGGGTGATGTACCAAAACTTGAAATGTTCTGATTTAAAGGACTATTTCGATAATACCAACTTAAAAATTATATTACGTTGGTAATATGATGATATCCTGGACAATGCTTCTTAGATGTTATGCTTATTTTGAAAACATATTCAGTTATATGCCACAGATAGATATTATTTTATTGAACTAGCAAAGAGAGAGTAAATTTTGTGTGCTTGATGTCCCAATTCTTGAAACAGATGTCCTAAATGGACAATAGAAAGAAAATTTCCCTACCTCCCACCTCCCATAATTAGATACTGTACTTTGCTTTTCAATGGAGCTAGCAATTCTGTGACAGATTTCTTAAATTCACCCTCATGCTATCAGCTATTATTGTACTTTCAAAGTGTGAAATTGACAAGCTGGTCAGTTTCATGAATTCAGCTGTCAGATTGTGTCCAGTTAAAAATTGCTAAAAGCTGTAAATGTGCCTGCTTGGAATTTTCTTTTGTAAAGGAAAGACAGCAAAGGGATGAGGATTAAGGGGTGTCATTAATTGTAGATCTTTTAAAATAGATGCACTCCAATGTGAGTTTTATCACTGGCTGTTGTTGGGAAGTACATTTAGATTTCTACTATTGTAAAAGTGGCATTCAGTTTGTATCTATATTTCATTTTAAATAGTGAGCACTTTGCATAGAAATAATCTATTCGTAAAGCCTTCAGTAATAGTAGTATAATAGGAGTGGGATTCAGAGGAAAAGTGTCTCTCGAATATATCTTAATATATATGAGTAATATATTACTTTTATAATAACATGTAAAGAGGTGGATGAATTAAATATTTTATTGTGGAGGTTATATAACACAAATTCTTCTTGGACCAATGCAGTTGTAGTTACTGAAGTGATGAAATGCAGTGATCTATTTTAATATATATGTATTTCAGTCGATAACCATGAAACTACTTTAAGTATTAAATACAATGATTTGATTTGCCTTTTAAATCATTTATTTAAAGCCAGAATATCTCACAGTGAGAGCTAAGAATTAGAATCCCCTCATCTGCTGCTATTTGCTAAGCCACTAGGGGCCTGTAGAACTGTTCTTATATCCAGGAGACATCCTTGTGTGGCATATGCAAACCCTTCCTAGAGAGACATTTAAAAAAAACTCAAGTAGGCAGTCCCCTAAGTTTTTGTTTTGTCCTTTTTAACGTGCTAACTCATAACTCTGATGTTAGTATAGACATTGATTGAAGGCTTTTTCAAGAACATTATTTAGAGCTGCTCTGAAACCGTGGTGGTGTAAGGATGGTTTTTCATACAGAGTGTAAGACATAGAAGAGGTGTTTGTGCAAATTCATATGTGATCCCAGTTTCTCAGTGTATGTCAAGGATAAACAAGTAAGAACGTTAATAACTTTTCTTTATTGGAGTGGTAAGGATATTATTTGCATAATGTCGGGTTAAAAGATAAGTGAAGCAGAATGACTTTAAGGAAAGTACAGTCATAGATGGATGGTGTGATTAAACTAGCTTTGTAAGTGCTGTGCAAGTTAGTGTGGAAGGAGAATCTGAGGCTGTGACTACCGTTTACTCAGCACTTGAGGGACCTGGACTGAAGATGCACTGTACATTTTTAAATGTCAGTTTCACAAATTTGAAATCGACCGGCCGTGGTGATCTTGATCGACATTAGGCAATAAGGTCAAGTATACTTACACTGTTCTTTTGTTGATTTTCAGTTTTTCAAACTGACAAGGGTGACTATTTGTAAAAGAGCACACGATAAGTATTTGCATATTGGATTTCCTTCAGACCAAAGTTGATTTATCAAGCCGTTGAACAATTCTATTTTTAAAAGAATTCTGTGGATAAGTAAGAATTCATTAACACAATCACATATGAAAAGTGCCATTTTAGGAACGATGGGTTTCTCAAAGTGATTTTGCTTTAAAACTACCCTTCTTTAGTTTCAGTGTGTATTTGTGGGTAGTCTGAGAGTTGAAGAATATGTATGCTCTAACTTATGATCCTGAGAGCCTCAAACTTTCAGGCTCACATCTTCAAATCTATACATTTAACCTTTGGTCATGGGTATCTTTCTAATTCCCCATAGTTTCTGGGAATCTCGAAAATAAACTTTACCTTTGATGTAGTGTACTCAACTTAGTGGTCACAAAATATACTCTTAGGACTCTTATTATAAACACAGATATATGAGGTACTAAATATAAAGATATGGTTATTCAGTTTTCCAGAGTGGTCAAAGAATGTATCATTTTTTAGTATTTTCTTACAGGGACAGTAGTTTTTGCTTGAAAAGATTAGTAGTAAGTGAGTTATATTTTAAGCTAGGCTTACACTGAGTATCTTATTACCTTATGGCATTATTTACCTTTTCTTTGTACTATTTAGTTTTTTTAAAAAAAATCTTTCAGGAAAGCTATTTACTTGTGATGGCACTAAGGCAACTTGCAGCCTCAGGCAAAGTCAATGTTTGAAAACATTTCTTTGTATATTATCAATGATTTGCCAAGAAAGAGCAAAGAGAAGCGTTGTTCTCTCTGAGAACTATAAGACTGAGGATTCCTATATAACATATCAACTGAAGAAATCTGATAACGTGGAAGAAGATTGCTTGGAAGGGATTTGCCAGTAAATTTGATTCCAACAAACATAACTTGCTTAAGCTTCTGTAATTTCATAGCACAGTGACATTTCCACCAAAGGATACGTTTGTTTGGGGATATGTTTTCTATATGGATAATCTCATTTGCTTC